AGAAGATGCAGTTTTTCGTTCACTAATCGGGAATAATTTGGAAGCTCTTAACGAAGCAAGTAAAGTAGCCAGAACATTGCAAGGATCCGGACTAGTAGATGGATGGAATCAAGTGATAGGACGAGTTTTCACTATAGAGCAGGTCAGAGCAGCTATTACAAGAAGTTTATCTGGTGTGTCCGTGAACGCAGTGAGAAGGGCGGTCTTTAAAGCAGCACAAGGTGCTATGCTACAAGGTAGGTTATATTATTTTGTTGTAATTCTTAGAATATATATCAATGATTTCAAGTAACAATTCGTATTTATACCTGCATTTGGTAATGTAGGTGAGTCATTAATGTTATTTTTTGCTATAAGGTATATATAGTAGTTAAATAGATATTTTCCTTCTTTCGTCTAGCTATCGAAGCGAAAGACTTAATAATTGCAGCGGCAAGAACAATTGCTGTTGAAGGTATTTTAATAACTTTTAGAAAATCATGGATCGCGTATTTTTTGTGACTATTGATTTTTTTGCTTAATATATTAGGCGCAGCTGCCGCAGAAGTGGCTGAAAGCGCACTAGCAGTAGGACTTACAACTGAAGAAGGAGCAGCGTTGTTAGCAGGACTTTTACTCTTGTAAAAATATTCTCTAACTTAATCTAACTTAATTTTAATCTATCAAAAATACACATCTGATTTTATATATTAAATTTAACTGATTTCGATTTCTATTAATTTTTTTAATTAAGCTAATGTTTTTTGCTGTTAGTAGAGATATTTCATTTTTTTAATGTTCTAAAATTGTTGCGAACCAACTTTTATTAATATTTAGTGAAACCCATTAAGTAAATGTTATTTGCTGTTAGCTTAGATATTTCATTTATTTGATGTTCTAAAAGTGTTGCAGTTTTTAAAAAAAATTAACTTTTATGAATATTTGGTGAAACCCATGTTAGTGCGCAATAACGAAACTGCTGCAAATAAGTTCTTGACTATTCATTTTAGCATTTTGCTAAGAAAAAAAAAAAAAAAAAACTAGTCAATTAAATGTAATCTTTATTAATAAAGAAATCTTTTTAAAATGTTAAATAAAAATTTTTTGACATCAGAACGAATAAGAACTTGTAATTAAGTTTGCACATCATATTGTTAATTGAAAGAGTTTCTTGGTAATTTATACACACCATTTCACTACGCTCCTGGAATGCCTAATTATGAAACTATTTTTGTGCAATAAGAATTATATATTAAGGATTATATTACTTTCTCAATTCTTCTGGCACATCTCTATTGCAATAAAATTCAAGATCAGGTGTAACGTGGTAGTTAAAACATACACATTCTGTTTTTCAAAGTAAAACCCTATTAGTAAAATGTCACAAGAAACACTTTTAATTAGGCCACAGAAAGTCCACCCTAATTAACATTCATAACTACTTTTTTTTGTAAAAAAGTAACTTTGAAATTCGATTGGTCAAAATTACAGGGTGGAACAATGGCACACAAATGCTTGTACATTAAACGACCATAGTTATATAATACGCGCATTAATATGTAGTATGTATAACTTGTTTGATCTATGAGCATTTGATGTCCGATTAATTATAAGTATTTGAGTGTCAAGTTTTTGTTTGATTGTGTTGAGCACTAGCTAGATCTGTAGTTGTAAT